AAAGACCTAATTCCATGAATCGGTTTGAGCTAATCGAGTCATCCTGATTCCAGTTATTGCTTTCACAAACACTGAAGAGGAGAGCTCTGAGCAGCAGTATCAGTAAACACACATCCCTCCTTTTACAATGAGACGCTTTGAGCAACGTGCGGTCACAAGGATGGACGGTCCAGTAGATGAATAGTGTGGAAATGAACAGCCCACGTGTCACTAACAAAACATGAAATCATGAGCTGGAACAACAACGAGGTTAGCAGCCTCGGATTAACAAAGAGGGTGCCCTTAATGTCAGGGATGGAAGGCCCCGGGGGTAAAATACACACACATAGACGGGGGGGGGGGGGGGGGGGGGGGGGTGGGGGGGGGGGGGTGTGACAGGAGAAGAGAGAGGGGGTGACACATCAGAGGGGTCGGGATCTCGGTGAAAACCAGCTGATTTGTCTGTTTTTCCTTTATAAATGGCTGGTGAGGTTTTTCCAGTCTATTTTTCGGCCTCTTGGGTAATAATTTACGTCTAAGAATGTCTGTGATAGCATGTCATATATTACTGTAGTGAATGTCTTTGCTTATTTTGCAGAACGGAAATAAGATGGAGCTGCTTTAGGTGGGAGATCAAAGGGTTTCTGTTTTATTTTAATTGCCTTAGGGTGGCTCAACGTCTCCAAGCCCAGATGGAGACCGTGAAAGCTTCTTTACATCGATGAAAAGTATTTTGTAAATCAGACACATCCAGCTTTAGGCTTTGCATGCACAACATAGCTACAACATTCAAAACACAGAGGAGCACAGTGGATGTGGGTTCATGTTGGATAACTGGAGATAGTGTGTGATTTTGCGTGTCAGGGTGGTGAGAACCCGGAAACAATAGCGCTGTCTGTTTCTGTAGACAGTGAGAGCTCACATTGGATGCGTTCAGGCGTAGACTTTACACAATAGCATAATTGTGCGTGTTGATGTCATTCAAGGAGAGACTAAACAAACTTTCAAAATTAGGCATACAACTATCACACAGCTGGACTCAACACACCTCTCCCATACATGCCAAGGTGAAACTAAACATGGCAGACCAGGCATGAAGACATGCTAAAACAGTAACCTTTCATGTAACACACACACTAAGCATGCGTGTAAAGACACACGGGCTTAACAGGTTAAAAGGGATTACAATTACTGTCCCCCTGACTCCCTTTTATCTCACAGTCCTCTGCAGTTTATCCCAAGTACACAACGACATTGTGGGGGAGCCTGCTACAGAGCAACAGCCAACAAAAACCTGGCTTGTTTTGTTTTGTCCAAGACCTTCACAATGTCCTTCCATTTGTGTGTGTGTGTGTGTGTGTGTGTGTGTGTGTGTGTGTGTGTGTGAGAAATTGAGAAAAAAAATCCACTTTAGGATCACTTTGCTGATCTCCTGCATGACTCACACCTTTTACAGTGTGGTGGTCTGACCACAGTGACACAGCTGAATAGCACTGAAATCTCTTTGAAGCATCTCGTCTCTTGTACTCCTGCTGCTACAAGGCCAATGCTTGAGCTTCTTTCATGGCACTTGTTTTGTTTTTAAATGCAGTTCAGCAACCAGATATTACTGTAACCTGATCTTGTCCTTTTTTAAGAAATCCAGACCTCATAACCAACGTTTTTGCTTTTTTGCACCTAAAATGTAGTGGATTTTAAATACCATTTGCAGATTGTTGTTGTTTTTGACTGTTTTGATATATATTTTGTTGGTATTCAAACCTTGGAGGGCTGCTGGAAAAATGAAATGTGATATGGATGTAATCCCTGGGAACTCCTGTGATAGTCAGCGCTCTGAGTAGGTAGCTAGCATGGGAATTGATTGACTAAGGGAAAGTGTAGCCATAATAAAAAAAAAATCATTTTAAACAAGTATAACAAACAAGTGGCCGATATGGGAGGCTATTATGTCCTTGGTTTTACATTTAAGATATAAGGTAAGGTGATACGGTTTGCTAAGGTTTAGTTAATGTTGATTGTGATACACAGCTGGATTTCATCTGGTCTCTTTTGATGCAATTGCCATGATTAGTCCCATTTAAAAGAATCAAGTTTGACCATTGAATGATAGAAAAATGATGCGCTCTCACAGACAATATATAGATAATGTAAGAATTGTGATTAAATAATGCAAACGATTACCCAGAATTCCTGGATGGATTATGACTCTCTATCGCTGATATAACTTCCAACTGAAATAACGATGATGGCTTTGGCAACTCATTCACTCTGCTTAATCCCAATATTGATCTGAAGTAGAGACTCTCCTCAATAATAATTTTAGCACTGTCAAGAAAGAGCCAGCCTCATCAACATCATAATGTTTCTCTCTCTTTGATTTAAAGTATCCCAGACTGGCCAGGATAGTTAACATCAGCCCGCTCTACTGTCCAGTCATTGAAGGGTATCTGGGTATTAAGATGGAGGTGTAGTGTTTGGTACAGTTAAACACTTTGTCATAAATGAAGCTCTGCCAGGATCGATGTGAAAATGTGACTAGCAGATGCATCACTGCCTGAGGCTCAACCTTATGTCAGATGATTTAGAAGAAAAGGCCGTCTGTTGCAGTCGTTCAGCCACAGACGAGTAGTGAGCTGTAAATAACTACCATAGCAGGGAAAAGCCATGTTACCTTGTGTGTGTGTGTGTGTGGAATAACTTTGATACAAGGATGTTTTATAAGATGTTACTTGTTTTGACGGAGCCCTTTTACAAATGTGATTGGTCTCATTGACTCGTTAATGGCTCTTTTGATCGGGCTGCTTTCTATGCATGAATGTGCTCCTTGTTTCTTTCCCATGCAGTGTTTCCCTGTGCAGACTGTTGTCATGCTCTTCTCCCCCTCTTCTCTCCTGCAGGCTATTTTTCTGCTCTCCCTGCCTGCTTCTGTATGTTTCTCTCAACATTCACAGTTGATTACACGACCAAAATCAATTCTTCATTGCATTGTTTTTAACTTCTCTAATGCATGGACTGTTCAATATGGAATTTGTCGATCAATTAATGTTCTTGTTGTATGGCAACTACTGTTTTTGTGTGTCTGGGATTTCTGTCCTCTGCAGAAGTACCAATATATGCATTATTCCAGAGTCCATGTTATTAGCTGGTCGCCTGAATCATTTGTGTGTATATGTGTTTGAGTGTGTTGCCAGAGGTAATTTCCACAGGCTTCCCCTGTGAAGGAGCTGCTCTCCATAATGCAGAGGAGGGAGAGTTGGGGAGGGGACTGCAGCTCCACATTTCGCTCCCTATTACAGAGCAGCAGCTTGGCCTTTTGGCTCAGTTTCTCCAGTGACCACTTGCACCTCCTCCTCTGCTGCCTCTCTGATTGCTGCTGCAGCACAGATTGAGAAAGAAGCAGAGCTTGCAAGTGTTTAGTGTGTGTGTGAAGTGGTGAGTGTAGTGTGTGTGTGTCACCTTTTGTCTTTATTTATCTTTTGGTGAGAGGTTTAAGTAGCTGCCATATGCAATGCAATAGCAAAGCTCAGAGACATTTAACTCTGGCATGTATGACATCTCCTCTTTGCCCCCTAATGTCCAGCTATCTGTCTTATTCATGAATTAATTAAGATGAATATGATGGGTAAAGCAAAGCAAAGGGTTAAGATGGGCTGTCTAGCATTAGCAAGTTCAATATTGCACATATCACATGAATATATTTTCCTTGTATGCCCTCAAGCAACATACATAACTTTGAAGACACAAACACACACTACTTTACTGTTTTATGGTTTTGAATACCTCTCTCTGGTTTACATGAGAAGGAAAACAATTAAAATCTCCCTTAACTTTCCTGATTGTGGTCAGTGGCTTATGAGCTCTGTCACATCTGCGTTATCATCTGAACTCACTCTATCATTAATTGGATTTATATATTATCTTTATGTGCATGTTAATTACTTATGACGTATGACCATGGCTCAGTCCTATTGGAAGGTGTACAGTCTAATATGAATTGAATACAGTGTACAGTATGTATACGCTCACTGAGTGTAGCTGACCTGTTCCTTCCTTCACTCCCTTTTACAAAGACGAAATAAATACTACACAGAAGTTATGAGTATCACCATTGTTTATAGCAACATTGTTTCCGTGTTAAGCATCACTGGGTAACTGTTCATCTCAGTTTGTAGACAAACACCTCTCTGGTAGCTGAGTGTGTCTGCAGTGAGGGATGTTTTCATCAGGATGAAGTCATCACAGTGACTAAGAGCCGCTCCTTCAAAGCAGTTAATGGAGTGAGGGTGTGGAGCGGCATGTTGGCAGCTTATCTGACCAGGGTGATATGTTTGCTTGTGCTTGCCAAACAAGACGTCTCATATCTTTTAGGGGCCCAATCTAAAAATGCAAAGGATTGGAACTTTCCTATAGGGTCATCTTTATTCCCTCATTTGTTTGACTCTTTTATGTTTGTCTGTTGGAGGTTGGCACCATTAATCAAAACAATATTTTCCCATAATCCAAAAATCACATTCTTGAAAAATGTTGTCATATTTTACTGAAGTATTCAAAATCACGTGGCAGACTGTTATAGAGAGTTGTCTACCATTACATTGGTATTTATACAAATATATATATATTACATTACATCATTATAGTTGCCTTTTTTTTGTTAAAGAGGAAAAAACTCTTTAGCCTCTCAAATGTGGGAATTTGCTGCTTTTTCTGTCTTTTATATCATAGTAAATTATTTCAGTTAAGACCACTTAACATAATTTAAAGACATCACCGAAAGCTTTGGTAAATGGTATTGGTCCTTTAATAGATTAAATCATTCCTAAAATAAATAATCAACTGATTAATAAATAATACAAATGTTGTTTGTTATTCTCATTTCAAAGCTTCTATTGATCATGGCTGTTCATATCATGCTGTTTGGGGTTTGGCATATTTGTCACGTTATGGTGACCACTGCTATGATTTATTTTAATAAATAATCTGTGGTCTGTCATTTAATTGAGCTTTTTCTGTTTCCATGACAGGTTTGAAGACCTCTGATCATATTGGGTCCACGGCCAGCCAGGTGGCCAATCAGGCGACAGCCAGGCTTCGCTGAGGAGGGAGACCAGCAGTGAGACTGGAAGAGTGTCTCTCCTCACCCACACTGCTTCACCCACCCTGCTCCACCCGCAGCACCATGTCCATACCCAGCATCAGCCCAGAGAGGGAGGGTAGCGCTCTTCCTCATCTGGAGTGCCCTTCTTCCCCTTCCGGCATGGACCAGGACCCACCATCGACTGGAAGCCCGGTGCTCAGCCCGGACTCATCTTCCCATGATGCAACGCTCTCGGCACCAGCAGCCTCTCCTGCAGACTCGGAGAACCTGAGTCCAGATGAACTGGAGCTGCTGGCCAAACTGGAGGAGCAGAACAGGTGAGATCAGATCATAGTGTAAGATCAACCAGTTCATACCGAAGAGTAGTGGTGCTCAGGGTCACAGTGGGCCTCAACACCCTCTGGGTAAAGAGCGCTCTCTTCAATCACATCCTCTCTGCCTCCTGCTAACTCAGACTCCAACAAACAACAAGGATAAAAACTACTAAAAAAACAGTTACGGGCAAAAACATTTTGAGAGATATGTTAATTAGCTTTCTTGCGGCGAGTTAGATGAGTAACCAACACCCTTGTTTACAATATTGGCTTATTGTTCTGCACAGTATGAGGAGAATAAGTACTACTGCATATGAGATATGTATCTATTTCAAATGAACTTGTCATATCATTATAAGAAAGATAGACTTACCTTGGACACGGCAGCATTGGTCGAAAGATATAAGAGACCTGTATACAAAGGTGTTTATTTTTGTCAATTTAAGCATTGATTTGGTCAGCTGTGTGAGTAATATCCTAATCGGGCAGCCGCTGGTTCTGTAGTTTAAACTAAACAGCTCTGAGCCTTCTGGATCCTCTACAAGGTTGTGCACTAACTGGACTGACCCTCACATTGTCACAGTCTTCATGCCTCAGTGTGATATCTGCCTGCCGTGACTCCTAATGCTCATCTAAGCTTCCCCGCCACCCTCCAGTGTGTGTACCAGCTTGTGTTAGACAAGCTCACTCCTGTAGTGTGCTCCTCTCCTCATGAACTCTCTCTCCACGCAGGTTGTTGGAGGCTGATTCCAAGTCCATGCGGTCGATGAGCGGCTCCCGGCGCAACAGCGGCTCCTCGCTGGTGTCCAGCTCCTCGGCCTCCTCCAACCTGTCTCACCTGGAGGAGGACACCTGGATTCTGTGGGGCCGCATCGTCAACGAGTGGGAGGAGTGGAGACGCAAGAAGGACAAACTCCTGAAGGTGGGGATTAGATCTGGAGATTACAAATTAAAGGTTATGTTGTCACGGGCGACATTTTCTGAAAGATTAGTCATAGGATATAATTTCAAATGAGAGCATCATTAAGAAGATTATCAACCTCCTCATCTTCTTTCACAGGAAGTTGAACAAAATCCCTGACTCACTGAACATGCAGAGGCTGGTTGGCCATTTATATCTGTCAGTTGTTACTCATAAGGTCACAGTGTTTGTGTTTTAGCTGTGTGCACATGTGTTTCTGATGCTCAGTGTTCTCTGAGAACCCAGGGTTCATTTTTGCTGACCATAGTTGTGGAAGAAAAGCCTTCATGTTCATTGTCTTGAGTTGGTTGCCACACAATAATGCCTTTTAAGTTTCACTGCACCAATACCCCTCTCTCTTCATAATAATAATAATAGCTTGGATTTATATAGCGCCTTTCATGAGACCCAAGGTCGCTTTACAAAGAAGAAATCCTCTCTCTCTCTCTCTCCCCTCCTTTTCTCTGTGTCTTTCTGTGTCCTCTGTAACAAAAGAAGAAACCCAGGGGAAGAGAAGATAGATGAGAGAAGGGACAGCAGAATGAGTCAGGGCAAAATGACACAGGCTGCTTTCAAATCCTACAAAGAGTCTGGCTTTGTGTTCAAATGTATTTATCAGGATAAACGGAGAAAGGGGTGATTGGTTTAAATGTTGGACTTGAGAAAAACTAAAGTAATTATGAAAAGTTTTACATCTTAATGTGGTTGTTGTGGCTGTAATTATAACATCATTGTAATTTAGATATGTAAATGCATCATTATACCATGATTAATTCATCCTCAAGTGATGCCTCGAAATTGTGTCCCTCACCACATAAAGGAGGGTGGTATTAATCCTCTTGAATGTCTCTCGTCGCCCTGCAGGAGTTGATCAGGAAAGGCATCCCTCACCATTTCCGGGCCATCGTCTGGCAGCTGCTGGGCAACGCCACCGACATGCCGGTGAAGAACCAGTACTCGGAGCTGCTAAAGATGTCGTCCCCGTGCGAGAAGCTCATCCGCAGAGACATCGCCCGCACCTACCCCGAGCACGAGTTCTTCAAAGGCCAGGACAGCCTGGGGCAGGAAGTCCTCTTCAACGTCATGAAGGTGAGCACGGCAGCATCTCACATCGGATAAGTAGCAGCTATGACGAGGTGACACGGTGTCCACGTGTATGTGTGTTTGACTGTTGGTACAGTGTTTTAAATACTACTCATTTACTAAATCAAGTAATGTTCTGCTAGACGGTATTAGAACAAAATATATCATTATTTCGACTGATATTGCAATTCCAATATTCACATTGTGTATGATAATTTTTTTATCATTACTCTAATTTCCATTTATATAGAAATAATCATGGTAGGGATCCGTACCAAGAACAATGTGTTGAATACATGAAACATTTTTAAAGCTTATTTTTGTAACATTTAAAATAGCTAATTGCAGTCTCTCATGTCCTTCAGAGCACTTGTTTCTTTGTGCGTTAACAGCAATAATGTGTGTTGCTTTGCCTGCATGTCCACGCATCTTTGCAATACAAACAAAACAGAACCTGCTCATAAATACATGAATCTTTAGCGTTGATCTTCATTAGCTCTCTTAAATATATTGATAATTTATTTTATATTATAATACTAATGAATGTAATCAGAATGCCATGTTGAAACATCTCTTCCTGTAGCCATTCAGACAAAGACTAATTGAACTGCGAGGATTTGAAGGGCTGTAATTAACTTCTCCATTGTGCGTGTTCCAGGCTTCCGAATGTCATTTTGTTTACGAAGCATTGAACACATTTGTTGTTTGCAGTCATGGAAACAAGCTTGTTGAGCAGCTCCGCATCAGTCAAGTTTCCTATTAGATGAGCTGCACAGGAAATGGATGGACCTCTGGTGACTTTTGATCCTGTTGCTCACAGTCGGTCTGGATTACAGAGGTCATCTGTGCTGCTTTCTATAAATACAACACATCTGAAAACTAATGTGTGTGTTTTTGTGTCTTTCAGGCATACTCTCTGGTGGATCGAGAGGTGGGCTACTGCCAAGGCAGTGCATTCATCGTTGGTCTGCTGCTTATGCAGGTAATGATGAAATATGTCATGAAACTGATTTAGCCTGAAGGCTCAGTTCAGTATGTCTAAGGTTCATTGTTATCACTCCCTTTAGATTTCTCTGCTACTAAAAACTGCTTATTATGCAGCAGGATTTTGAGTTGTGTCTCAAAGTTAACAGGGAATTATGGGACCCACTGTATAACAAACTGTTTAACATAAGCAATGTCTTTTTATACCTAATGAGGAAACTTTACTCACCCCTCTCACCTCCTCCTAGATGCCTGAGGAGGAGGCGTTTTGTGTTTTTGTGCGTTTGATGCAGGAGTACCGCCTGAGGGAGCTGTTCAAACCCAGCATGGCCGAGCTGGGCCTCTGCATCTACCAGTTTGAGTATCTGCTTCAGGTAAAGAAGAGAGGCCTGCAGTGTAACACTCATCCACACAGGGGCAGCAAATCCTTCACTCATATCTTCAGCACATCACTTTCAGTTTTGATGTCCTTCAAGACTTCTAATCATATTCCTTCTATTCCTCAGGAGCAACTTCCAGAGCTCAACGTCCATTTTCGATCCCAGAGTTTCCACACTTCCATGTATGCCTCGTCCTGGTTCCTCACCCTTTTCCTCACCTTCCTCCCTCTTCCTGTCGCCACCCGCATCTTCGATATTTTCATGTATGAGGTAGGAAACGTGTTTTTGACTGTCTATAATTCACTAACCTGTTCTCTGAGTTTACTGAGCACACATAATGAAAGATGATGTCCTGTCTGCAGGGCCTAGAGATTATCTTCCGTGTGGGCCTGGCCATCCTGCAGTACAACCAGACTGACCTCATTCAGCTGGACATGGAGGGCATGTCGCAGGTAAGCTGCTGCAGTTTTATACAACAACAAATAAACGACCAAACAGGTGAATTTTCTCCTGATATGTGTGTGTGAGATATAATTAAACACAACATTTTTGGTGGTATCATAAAAGACACCTACAGCCATTTTTAATTATCATTTCATCTTTGACTACTCGTCAATGATTATGCGTTTGATTATTGAACAACCGGTGTGTCGATTACTTTATGACTTTAGTGATAAAAGGCCATTATAATTTCGCTATAGCTTTGTTTAAGTTCTTCAAATTATTTGTTTTATTTGACAAACATTTTCAACCTAAAAGCCAATCACTTTATTATCTTTTTTGCCAAAGAAAGCAACAAATCTACAAATGTCACAATCTGTTACCAGAGAATTATTGCTTTTTTAACGAAAAATATCTAAAGTCTCATCAAAAATAAATGTGTATGTAAACCTAATCTCTGCAACTAATTGATATACCAATATATATACCTTTTTATTAACAGTGAAAGTCAGCTAATTAGAATCATCAATCGGGCCAATGTGCTCGTCTTCACAACTCATGTGTTGCCTGCTTCTGTATAAAATATAAATGAGCATCTCTGTCTGTCTTAATCTCTCTAATCTTGTTATTTCCTCGGGGTCTGCAGCATTTCCAGAAGGTGATCCCCCACCAGTTTGACAGCTGCACAGATAAGCTGATCCTCAGGGCCTACCAGGTCAAATACAACCCCAAGAGGATGAAGAAGTAAGAGCGCACATTATTCAACTAACGACCAGTAAGACTCAGGCCTGACAGGCTCATGTAGCCCAGGAGCATTTGTTCTCCTGTCTTGTTTTGCAGCACACTCTCTTCTGTGTTTGATGTGTGCTTGTTGTGTTGAGAGAGCAAGATCCCTGTTCTATGTTCGAAGCACAGCAACAAACAGAAGTGTTGTTCTAACTTAGCATTATCCCGTTTTGTTTATTTTTTATTAGACTTGAAAAAGAATATACCACAATCAAGAACAAAGAAATGGAGGAACAAATTGAGATCAAGGTGTGTATGCTCAGCTATTTGTGTATTTTATGTATTTGTGCATGATGTGGACATATATACTATTTGTGAGATTAAAAAAAAAAATAGGCAATATAAATGGCATGTGCCTCTCTCTCTCTGTTCAGAGGTTACGCACAGAAAACAGGCTGCTGAAGCAGAGGATCGAGACACTAGAGAAGGTAAGGGACGGGTTTTGATTCCAGCTTTTCTAAATGCTCAAATAAATCAGATTGCTCAGCGCAGGACTCATTGATCAGAAATGACCTAGTTAAACACTGACAGATAACACTGTGGGTTGAAATTCGTGAGATTTTTTGTCGTTTTGCCATCTCGTTGGTGTGTGTGTGCGTTTGTGGCTTAGAATTTCTTTCCTTCTGCTCCTGCACTCAGCAGAATTTAATCTTTTGCTGCTCTCTGAAACACTCTGTGATGTCACTGCCGGCCCTTTTTTTCCACACACTTCTCTACGATTGACCTGTGAACCCTTTCTTTCCTTGAATTTCCTCTGGGGTTGTGTTGTGGTTTACTGTCTTTCACTTTCTCTTCTCTTCTTCTTTTCACCCTCTTGTTTCTCTGCGCTGCGCTGTAGGAGAGTGCCGCTCTGGCAGACAGACTGATACAGGTAGAGTACTGCCAACCAGTTTCCCACTGACCTCGCTGTCCTACTCACACCTCTTTATTCCTACTTCTTCTGCTTCTCTCCCTCTTTCTTAACAAACCCCTACCAAAAGTGCATGAAAGAATATTGTTAAATATCTGTTCAGTCCACGAGACTGTCCTGTGAAGCCTGGATGCATGTGCTGTTTAACTATGATTGAAACTCTAATAAGGTCTAATAGGATTATAAAATCCCTGCATGTGGCATGTAAAAGTGTATCACTACTGTTAAACATCTTCTATAGTAAAACTGCTTACCAAACTGGGAATAACATATCCTACATTGTTAGACATTTTTGGGCCTGCGGTTGCTTACTTTGTTTGTTTTTAACATGAAAAATACACATGTCTGTGTGCTAAATATAAAGCATCTGCCAACAGCTGGTAAGCTTAGCTTAAAGATTTAAAACAAGAGGAAACGGCTAGCACCTTTTTTAAATTAAAATCTTATATATATATATATATATCTTTTTTTAAATATATATATATATATTAGGAAACGAAAGTGAGACATTGTGGCTTTAAGGGAACGTATACAAACGAGAGGTCACATGTTATTAAGCAAGCTTTAAAGGATGCTGGTTGGTGGATTATTTTAACCTTTTGAAAAGAGACTGACTAACTGTTTCCCCTAATTTCCAGTCTTTATGCTGAACTAAACTAACAAGCAAGCCAATACACTTATTTCCCCAAATGTCAAACTATTCCTTAAAGTAAAAAACAAATGTAATATGTTGCCTTGATGCCCAGAATATCTTTTTTTATTTTTCCCTACTTTGGTATGTAGTATGCATTTTAAAGTTTAAACTCCACATCTGATCTTGACCCTCTGGCCTGCTATTCCAGGGTCAGGTGACGAGGGCACAGGAAGCCGAGGAGAATTACGTGATCAAGCGGGAGCTGGCGGTGGTGAGGCAGCAGTGCAACACAGCCAGCGAGAACCTGGAGAAAGCACAGGACACCATCAGAGAGCTGCAAGAACAGAAGGTGACCACCGGCCCACAATCTGTGCTATCACACTGTGGAGGCAACATAAACCATTGTTCAACCTGAGGCTCCCACATATGTTGCACAAGTTATTGGTGTTGTAAGATTTTCTCACAAGGCAGAAGTAGTTAATCTGTATTTCTCTTGAATTGTACATTAGGTAATGGTTCATGAGGTCAACTGGTTGAATGATTACAAAATCGTAAGTTCCTAATTCATGTGATATCAGGCTGTGAAAAAGACACAACAAGTTCAGTTATTTTTCTATCCATCCTAAAAACAGTTTGTAATGAATATTTAAGTAATAAGTGTTTCAAAATGGCTAAGCTAGACACAAACAACCCCTCTGATCTGGTGCAACCTCTTTACAAATGAATTACAGCTAAAATAACATGGCATGTCAGCAAAGTACACCCCTCTGTAAGAATATGAATATACCTTCTCTCTTTTAAATGCTAATCACATTCAGCCAGAAGAAAGAGATGACGTTTAAACCCACCTTTTAAAAAGATACAAGTTTTAAATTATTATTTAGGGTTTTAAACATCATTTATTGTGCTCAAGATGCTGAGTGATTTTATTCCATCTCAAGATTGCGTGCACCCATCACCCTCCAGAGCTCACACACCCCCAGGCACTCACAGTCCTCTTTGATAACCAAGACTGAAAAGCCCAAAATGACTAACCGATACTGTTTTACGCACGCTATGTACTTGTCTAATTTCAAACTATTGTAATTTGCCTCGTAGGAAAGTATTTTCCACTCTCTGTGTTTCTAATGCTCTCACAGCCTTACCTTTTTTTAAGTTTACCTTTTGATGTGGTGACATGAGAATGTACAGTAGCTCTATATGTCTGTCATCCCCTGAGTCAGCAGGGAACATGTGCTGCTTTACACTTCATTTGTTCACCAGCTATTTTGAAGTTTCATTCCACACTTTTACTTAGTACTGGGAAAACCAGCCACAGAACAGGAAAAAGTGTAAAAAAATGTGTTTCCTTCTGTTGCTGCATGCGGCTAGCTGCAGATATTAACAAAGAATAGTAAAAGTGGCATGTTATAAAAGATGCTCATGATTTATTTGTGAAAGAATAACAGTGTAATAACTCTTGGTGTGTGGCTGGAAATGAACTGCTTTCAAATTGGTTCTGCCTTCCCATTATGTAAAAACATTATTTTTAAAAGTTGTCACTCAAAAACAAATGGCAAAGGGCATGCATGACGGTGTATTATTAATACTCAACTTGAGACAACAGAAACAGAAACAAGCAGCAGTATGTGGAGGAATTCACACTTCTTGACACACTGTGGTAAAATAACTGAGCTCATAGCCATGACAAGCAATCAGTCTGCATGACTCAAAAACTGTTTAAGGAACAACAACTTGTTGAGGCCCAAACAAGGTCAATCGTCTTCTCCGTATACCCATTAGGAAATAAATATCTATACTTAACGATCTCTCAGGAAGCTGAACAACAAATGGTCAAAGTTGCGCTGTTACATGATATACCTGCTGTATGTAACACCAGTGATGTTTGTTCAGTACACAGAGCCGTTTGTGACCGACCTGCAGATGCAGCTGGAGCAGTCCAGAATGCATGAGGCCGAACTGTTGGGGGCGCTGAAAGAAATGCAAGACAAGGTCCTCGATCTGGAGAAGGTGAGCTGACAGAGGAGAGAGAGGGGAAGGGAGTGTGAACGTTTAGAGACACTTGCAGGCCTGTGAATGTAACTGTGAATGTGTTAAAGATCATCTCATGCAAACCAAGTTGTTAAAGCTGTGAAACACCAAACAAAGGTGTACTTGACATTTCAATGTGTCTTATTGAAAGGTGTTGAGACAACTCTTACTCTCTTACTATTATATATTTACTAGTATTTAAAACATGTTTATTAATGCTAGCAGTCTAGTATCTCTAATCCATGTCAATGTCTGAACTGTTGATAAGTTATTTGTTCCACTACTTTGGTCCAGACTGACATTTTTGAAATAACTATTAGATGGATGAAATGTTTTGCAGACCTTCACTGTCCCCCAAGGACGAAGCCTTCTGGCTTTAGTGATCCCCTGAACCTTTCTCTGTGCCATCCTTGGCTCTGTTAATGAAAATGATCATCATGCAAATTGTGAAAGTGACCACTTGATATGTTGACTTACACACTCACAGGTTTTCAGTTACATGCCTCCACAATAATTGGATGGAATGGCATGAAATTTGGTTCCGGCCTTCATGGACCACAGGATAAAACTTTATAGACCCCTTATTATTTCATCTATTGTTATCCCTTTGGTTGAAAGTTGATTTCAAGTAATACTTTTAAACTGTAAACATGACATGTTTTTTTTATCCAGCGAAGCTCTTGCCTGCCTGATGAGAACAACGTGGCGGCTCTGCAGGAGGAGTTGAAGCAGATAAAGTTGAGGGAGATGGAGACGCTGCGCTCATTCAGAGAGATGCAGGACACCGTCACTGATCTCAATCAGCGCTGGCAGGTAACACACACACACACACACACACACACACTGCTGCTGTTCCTCTACATGTCTACAACTACCTATGTGTGCATGTCCATGTGCCCTGGTAGTGGCAGGAGAGTTAAAAGTGTGCTACTCTGTGTTTCCGCAGCATCATATGTCCCGCGGCAGCAGCACAGGGGGCGGACACTGGAAGGAGTCCCCGAAGAAGAACGCCATGAACGAGCTGCAGGACAAACTGATGACGGTCAGACTGAGAGAGGCCCAGGCTCAAGCTGAGCTCAGAGAGGTCAAACTCAAAGCCCTGCAGCTGGAGAGCCAGGTCAGACATACTGTACACACACACAGTCAGTCAGTCAGTCAGTCAGTCAGTCATAGAGGGTATACAATCTTTGCCAGTCCTTTTCTTGCCTACACAGATAAATACACATAGGGTTAGTGATGATAAAACAATAAAAGTAGACCATCCCTGCGGTGTTAATTTGTCTTTTTATTGCAAAAATGATAAAAAAAATAATCAATAAGAGAATGTACAAGTTGGATAACATGTCCACTGTGGGTCTATTAACACAATTAAGACTATCTTTGGGAATCATTTCAGTATTTGTGAGATTGTGATACATTTGTGCCATCAGCAAATACAAAAAAAAGAAAGATAGTTTGCCCCAAAATGTAGATTATGAGATTGGTGGACATTCACATCGCAATAGCCTTTATTTATAGTGTCATTGACCCAACACCGAAATAAGGACTTCCTTCCAGATTTACCATCCCTTTCCCTCCCACTGCTTATCTCTTTATACATTAATGTTCTTTCTCGACCCCTGCTGCTGCAGACCATGTGTTTGTTTCTCATTTGCAGATACATGGCTCTGTATGAACACCAGATCTTTGTTTGTTATTATTTTCATCTAGAGATATTTGCGGAATAAAAAAAAGTATATTTGATTTAAATCACATTCTCAACCATATCACCAACCTTTCTCCCATTTGACTTCCTTCACTTCAGAACCAGATCCACAGCAAGCTGATTGGTCGCAACGATCAGGAACGCTCCACACTGCAGGACCGGATCCAGACGCTGGCCAATCAGAACAAAGCTCTCCAGGCCCAGCTCAACGAGATGAAAAGGAAGCAGTCCGAGCACGACTGCAAGGTCTGATTGTATGAGAGAGGAAAAACAAAACAAAAAATAGCAGGAGGCGAGGGAAGGCACAAGTAGAAAGGATGATTTCTTGTTCAAGCTTTATGAAAAGTAAAATATATTTGCATTCGTAAGGAGACACTAAAAACTGAACAGGAAAATCAAGCGAAGGGTGATGAAACATATAAAAACAAAGGGAACGACAGAATAATTGAAAGATACTGATTTTGTAGAACAGAAAATAGAAAATGTTTCAGGAACAATCGACTGGAAATTATTCTGGCTATATTCTGGGATTCCCTTTCAGAAAAGTAGGACAGATGCAATAAAGGAATAAGATATGGAAGATGTAGACAGTTTATGATGCAATATCCTTCCCTGAAATCCAGTATATACGTAGTTGTCATCCAAACGGCTGAGCTGTTAAGCAGGTTATTTATAGCCTCTCTTCCCTCATACATGCAGAGTAAAGAGGAGGTGATGGCGGTGCGACTGAGGGAAGCAGACAGTATGGCTGCCATGGCTGAACTCAGGCAGAAGGTCTCTGATCTTGAGATACAGGTGTGTAAAGGGTTGGCTATATACGATCATTTTCAGTAAATATCAGAATATGTGTTTTTCTGTTTGAAGAGTATGATGAAAGCAACTAGGCTACTCAACTATCTTTTAAGTGATTATGTTTCCAGTCTTATCTGATGTGAACAACTGAGTTTGTTAACTCAACGGTTACACAGGGTTACAGTCTGCTACATGAAAATTGGATATTTGAGACCGATCTATCGTTGGCTTATCAATCTCTATATGTAGATGTTGAAGTATATGTTTTCAACAATATTGTAACAAAGAATTTAACACCAAATATGTAAAATGTGTTCTACAGAAGGAGGAAGGGCTGATCCAGGGCCAGCTGAACCACTCAGACTCCAGACAGTACATCAACGCGCTGCGGGATCAGATCGCTGAGCTTAAGAATGAGGTTGGACACACAAATCTGACCAAGTGACAGATGATTCAACATGTAGTTAGAGTCTGCAAAGGTTTCTTGTGTAGTTGCAGCAATTGTAACCCAGGCCAAAGAGGATATGTTTTGGTTTTGGTTGACTATTAGTCAGCAGGAATAAAGAAAAACTACTGCTGTGATTTGAATTAACCTTGGTCTAAGAGTTTAGCATTGGCAGAAGAAGAACTTATTACATTTTGGAGCGGATTCAATCACAGGGCGGATCCACAAATAATTGTTCACTTTCCTAAACATTGCGAGATTTGCGCTCTCAAAGTGCCCTCCTGGTTGATATTTTATCATCTCTGTTATAATGTATCAAGTTTACATCTGACAAATGCATGGTTTACAAAAATCTAAACTTAATGATTTATTTTTACTGGTGAGAATGCTTTAAAATGGCCTGCACATATAACACACACTGCGTGTATACCATAGATGCAGATAGATACCCTGCAGAGTGCTAACCACCACAGAAGAATCCTGTCATCTACAGCCTCACTACAGACACCACATCCACCCAGACACCCTCACTGAGCTGTCGATGTAGTCCTTGTCATAAGGGACCCCTGCTTTTCCCCCCAACAACCTACTATTTTCTCACAATTTGTTTTACGTTTAATTTAGATCTGAAAGATGAGAATCAGTCATTGACATTTAAGATTTGTTGTATTGTTTTACAGCTGCTAGCTCACTTGGTCTCCGTCTGGTTAAAACATTTATCTCAAGTTGAGCTGATAACAAACTTTGCATTTTATTTTATGTCTGGTTTTTGATGATCTTTCCCACCCTGCTTCGTAGACTCAAAGTTTTCCCACAACATTCACTTTGAGGTTGTTCATTCAGAGAGTCGCAGTGCGTGACATGGAGGGAAGCGTTCAGACTTTAAAGTAAGGGGGTGTGATGAGACTGCCCTGCCCTTTACCGCTCCTCTCTTTTCTTCTACTCTCCCCACCATTTTTCATCAAAGCAAGTGGTTTTATAAATGAGACCGAAACTTTCGTGAGTAAAGCTGAGGAAGCAGTGAACCATCTACAAAAATCTCAGTATAGCCCTGCCGATCATTTTATTGAATCATATTTACAGTGATAAATTATGATGACAGATTCTACTTGATTATTCTTTGTGTGTTTAGCTTTGCATGAAGTAAGCACTTTTAATATATTCATTAACCTGTTCTTATTGCAAAAACTGATAGAAAAATCCCTTGTGTTCTTGTTGTGCTGTAGCTTGAAGTGAGATGCAGTCAAAACATTTCCATTGGTTAACCACTGGTTTCCCCTCCCCCCGCCCTACTGCTAGCCTGAGTGTGTGATAGGGGGAAAGATAAACCTCTGAGATTTGTCATGAGTCACTGCGGTGCATGCAAGGTTAACACGCTAAAAACACGCATGTGAAGATAAACTGCGGTGGAAGCCCTTCTATCACACGAGAACTACCACCGTAAACTGAGAGCTGGACAGCAGATATTGAGAACATGCAAACACATCATTTTTTTTCTTTTTTTTGTATCAAGTTCTTCCACCTGACAGGTGGGAGATTTCTATTGCTCAGATTTAGCTGTAAAGACCCTCTGCCCTACTTTCACAACCTCAAATGGTGGGCAGGAATCAGGTCAGTGGGTTTTACAGGTGGTGTTTCTCACACACTGCAACCCGTACAAACATATCCAGCACATTATCTGACGTTTAATGCTTTTGCAAAGGCTAATCAGACATATTTAACGTAATTTTAAAGCATATATGTTTTTATTCATTTCTTACATTTCTTCAATTATGTCCAAAAACTCTACCAAGGAAAGTGTTGTTTGTCTTGTCTTGGGATTTTTTGTCAAGCAAAGTACGATAATGCCTTTTTTGAAATGCACTGAAATATAGTTTAAACCTTCCTGTAGGGTCGTCTAAAGTAAAATATTTTTTCTGAATTCAGATCAGGCAGATGCGAGGGCAGAAGGCCGCCCCCAGCTCCAGGGTGAGTAGTGGAGGAGGAAGTGCCAACTACCAGGATCTCTGTCTGACCAGCCCCACCTCCGCAGAGGGGGACTACCTAAGCTCCGACGAGGACCTCCTGCCCAGCCCGCTGCCTCCCAACGCCCTGTACCCAAGCCTGTCCAGCCAGTGTCACCCGTCTGCCCGCCTCGATAGTGAGGGCAGCACAGACAGCGAGGCAGAGGAGCGGGTTCTGACACATCCGGACCCTCAGCAGCTGTATGGCAGCATGGTGTGCGCCGAGGCGCTGGATAACTGAGACCTGGAGAGGGGGTGAAGGTTTCTTTTGCTTTCTTTGAGCTGAAGAGATGCCAGAGCTCTACAGGACAAGACTTTACTTCTGTAAACACGGGCTGTATAATCCTACTCGCTTCTCCAGTGTTTACATCGATGCAGACATTGTGGCATTGATTGGACCTCTCCTGATCATTACTCCCCATTCATCTCCACCATCGTGTTCCCCACGCTGTCCATTCCTCTGTTCCCTGACAAAGACAAACAGCTCCAGACACCATCCAAACATAAACATGTAACACCCAATAATATGGACTGAATCTGGGCCAATGAGACTGCTGTTGCCTCTCGCTGCTCGAGATCGCACAGCAGACCTGGACCTGGGACTTTGAGGAGGACTGAAACATGGGTAGACAGAAAATAACTCCCTAAGCTAAGGTGACACTGTATGCTCGGTCTACCCTATGTGACTCTTCTTCCTGATTGGTTCCGAGTTATTTATCCTCTCTTTTCCCTTTTTATGCTCTAAATTGGCAGAAACACACAAAAGAAAACTATTAGTGATCGATTTACCTCTCGGTAGTAGAGAAGTATCAGAAATGAAAAGTTGGTGAGTGTGAGAGGAAGAGGTGCAGTGCAGGAATATAAACCCATCAAACTGAAGGGATATCACAAGATTGCATTCAGTAATGAATCATGAACTCTTTAACATACTGTGTGTGCTGTCTGTGTCTGTGGCTTGCAGATGACAAGAAGCCAGGCGAGTTAATACAACACCTCATATCAAAACATATTCATCATGACCCAAGAAAAGAAAGGAAGAAACTTAATGTTGCCAAATCTTTTGTTTTTGTCATTTTTAATTATTTATATATGTTGTAATTTATTTTGATATTCTTATTTTTTTTTATATACATGTAACTATAGGAGTGTAGATACCGACAGAGGCCAAACTTTCTACACCGTCCTTTGTGCCAACGAGTCGTCTGTTACAGGTTTACTTACTGTGAGTGTTTCAGAGACTAAAATGTGCTGCTATGATTTTGAATTTATTTTTGTTTTTCTGTTCTTTTTTGTGTAATATTTTAGAGGTCAACATGTAACCTCCTGTTTACCATAGATTCTGTGACGGCTACTGGTGCAGACTGATCAAATCCTTAAAAGACTGAACATTGAATAACTTGATTATTCCCTAGAGCTATTGTGCTTTTTCTTCAAACGCATAATCATTGTTTATGTGCAATTCAAAAGGAATTGTTTGACATTTAGGAACATTAAGTTGCTTTCCTGCTGAAAGTAAGATGAAAAGGTTGACACCACTTCCTTAAAAGTCTGTAAAAAAAAAGAAGAAGCTACAGCCAGCAGATAGTTAGCCTAGCTTAGCCATTGCATATTCATCCATCATTTAAAAACGTTTTTTGACATTAACTGACATTTTAAAAGTAACAGTAACAAAGAAGAATATGTTACATCATAAAGTCAGTGAACTGACTCAGAAATGTCAATTAAAATTACAACGACAATGCAAGAGCTACCTGGTGTTTGCTAATGTTAGCTTATTAACTACAAATAAGGGTGATGCAGCTAGCTTAATCCCTTGAGCAAACGTGCAATATGGCTTAGTATGTTTACATTGAACTTGTAAAAGGAAGATTTGGTATTTCCCTTTTCAAAGTCACAACTTTTAATTAGTTAGCATCAGAGCCAGGCTGGCTGTTTTCCCCTGTTTGCAGTCTTTATGCTAATATAAGACAACCAACCCCTGTAGCTTCATATCTAACAGACAGGCATGACAGTATTCTCAGTCTTCTCACCCAGAATGTCAAACAATTCCTTCAATTGTCAGTGTCCCATACAAGCCCAAAGAAATTCAGGTAACAGTGCTGATCTGTACTCTCCAGTTCAAATGCTCATATCACTTTTTGACAGCTAAAACTGCAGCATGTGGGCCGATGAAAGTGGAGAGAGTAGTTTAAATATCGAAAGGGATAACAGAGAGGGTCTGGGTGAAAAATATTTTACATATCAAACGTTAATATATTCTGTGTAGAGAAAGAGGATTGTAAAATGTATGGAGACATATAAAATATACAGTGTAACAGGGACAAAGTATAAGGAAACAATTTAAAGCTGTGTCACTGTCTGTCAAGTTTTACTGAAGATGTTGAGTGTGTATAGATATATCAAACAGGGTGACAAATGTAGAGCAGTGATCGCTCTTTGCACTACAGAGAAAGAGGAAGTCTGCTTATGAAATTAAGCAGTGCGAAATGGTGTGGATGATCAATTAATTTCTTATTGTATTCAGCTCTGCAGGCTTGACGTTATCTAAGTATTGTGATTCAAAATCATCCATTCTGACTTTGCATTGCACTTCAGTTTCTTTTTCAGATTTTCTGTAAACTCTCAAAAGACCGACTTTCATTACTAACGTTTCTGTGAACCAAATGAAGGAATGTCAAAGGAGAGGATGTCTGCAGTCTTCTACGAAATAAGGAAAGAGGATGTTGGTTTGCCCACCATACTGTTGCAAATAACAGCTTTTATTGGTCATTGAGGGGTGTAGCAACTGAAATCTATACACTAGAATAAGTGTTTGGGTGCTGTCACACCAAATGAGTGTTAAGTTATTTGTCCAACTGGCAGCAGCTCTTTGATTGATGAGACTTAGGCTGAATTCCTCACTTAGTAGAGTTATAATCCTTAAGATCATTCTATTAAACATATTTTATTACAACACACATGTATGGCTCTTATCATATTATCACATATTTATTTTACTGATGAATGAAAGGATTAACTGGAAAAGATGGATTTTCGCATTGGACCTGATGCAGTTGCCTGCATGCTATTCATGTAATGCACAAGGCAACATGGGTCTGAAAACATAGGCGACTTTCATTCTCTCATGTTCCAGTAAACTCTTTCAGAAATGCTTGACACATGGTCCCACTTATTTTCATTGTATAACGTGACCCCTTACTCTTTTTTTTTTTTTTTTTAAACATTGTGAAGCGATCAGTCCTGTGGGCCAATTATTAGTTTGGTTCTGGTGTGAACAAATGGAAAATGTGTTTTGCATTTCTGACAAAGTAACCACTTGGAGCATTCCTATCTGATCGCTGGGAGCTTTTTCAATAAAGCATCCCCATCACTAACTAAGTCAGATGAATCACTAACTCAAATCTTCAGGATTTTAAATAAATTATTTTAATTTAGATTTAAGTCCGAAAATTTAAGAAGCTTTTATTCAGTGCCGAGTATCAGTTTCCTTTTCAAAAGGAACCCTAATCTGTAGTAAGATCAGTGCTCAGTGTCTTAAACACATTGCAGCTCAGTGATGGTGCTCTGTGCTCACCACTGTCTGAATACAACTCTACCTACTGTGACAAAAACCTTTTGATATGTTTGTAAATTACTTTTAATATGGTACAAGCTCTCATCCTTAGTATTATTTTTATAATTACCAGCCTATTTTGGTTTCTCCTGCTAACAGCATTACACAAGACGATATTGATTAAACATCCTAATGTGCCATACAGGTAGGTCGTTTTACACCCTTGCTTAGCGACTTCATGTTAGTTTACCAAGTGTTTAATTGACAGTCAGCCACTACAGCCCTTCATTAAACAGCCATGTAATATAAAGTGATGTGTGGACTGAAATACGCTCACACTGTGTTGCTCCAGATGTATCATCTTGAAACTGGATCATCCAACAATTGCCCTGATCTAAAGTGGGGGAAAAGACAATGCAGAGCAAAATTGTGTGTCTCATGTGAGTTCCTCCTCACAAAAAGTGTTGATTAGTCTGGAGTAGGATTTCTCCGATGTACTTTGTGCTGTATGTGACAGCCGTTTGATTTCCACAGCATCATACCCAGGAACTAGCCCACCCTCTCTCTTTCTGTCTTGCAATTCAACAGATGTTATCGAATATATATAATGACAGTAAAGATTATATGAATTCCAGTATGATGGGGGAAAAGAATCATTTCAGTGTTGTGTATCCTATGAATGATACAAAATAAACTTTGACATTGCGCCTTTGCAATGGCCCAAATGTGTTGATTGTGTCTTTTTACTGGGGGATTATGTTAACTTAAATGTCAACCGTATCTCAGCAACGCTAAATTATTAACCAACTTCATATTAAGGTGTTGTTTGTGATTTACTACAATAAAATACGTTTTATTTTAGAGATGAATTGTTTTGAATATGTAAACAGACCCTGTAACTGCCAGGTGTTGATAAGGGTTGCACGGCTAACTAAACTAAAAGATGAAGCTAACATTAAAGGGGCCTTAATATGCTAATTGTCAGGGTTCATATTTGTATTTTTTGCCTCTACTGTGACATGTTTACCTGCTTTAATGTTCGCAAAGGTCTTTATTTTTCTCATACTGCCTGTGCTGCAGCACCTCTTCTCCCCCTCTGTCTGAAACCAGAGCTCAGTCCGTCTGATTGGTTAGCTGGCCGGCTCTGTTGTGATTAGTCAACCACTTAGAGATGTCCCACCCCTTAGCCCATCACATACAATTTGTCTGTTTTTAAGTGTTACATAGTGATGTCACTATGTTACAGAAGTTGAGGCGGGGGTTGAGAGCGTGGGAGAGAAACTTTGGGATTTTAGCCTTTAACGACATTAACACGCACAGAAATGTATAAAACAAAAAATAAGGTCAACACATGGTCATAATGAAATTTGACACTTAAACATTGAATCTGACAACTGATACTCAACCATGAGTAAAAAGTGCATTTGTTAGGGAAACACATAGATCCGTTTAGTATTGGTGTGTGTTTAATAGTGTTTCACATTTAACACCTTTATTATTCACATTTCCTCTTGCTGTGTCTCTTTCTGCGATTCATTTAACATTGTTTTCAATTAATTCTATTCAAGGGAATGTGCTGTTACACCAACCAGCTTCTTTTCAAACTTGACCCCGATGGTTATTTTGTAACTGTGTGTGTGTCAACATAGTATGTCAACACTTTCTGAAGAAGTTGTCCACCAAGCTCTTCCCCTCACATCTGCTTTATCTGTCTTCCCTAGAATAATCTGTGGTTGGGTTTAGTTTGTTGAACCACTGCAACATATATTAACAACTTGCATCAGAAAGTAGATTGTTTTTGTTTTTAAGTAGTTGGACCGATTTAATGCTGCAGTGAGTGTGCAGTTAGTGTGCAGTGTGTGGGTTTGTGTGTGAGGAAGCAGTGTGGTTGTCGCATCAGAGATGTTAGAGCTGAGACACTTCCTCGTCCTTTTTTATTCTCATCACGGACCTGCAGAGAAAATCAACGGCTCACAAACAAGACTGACCTCACATTGTCTTTTATCACTATTAAAGTAGTTGACCAAGTGTATGTGTGACATTAAGAAGAACTGTTGGAATTTAAAAGTCTGGTGAGTATTTCCATTTTATTTCTGAAAACTATATTTTAAGCTGATTAAAAGCTACTTAGGTTCAAATGTGTCAATATTTTCCCTCAAGGCTCAAACTAATAGTGTTAAATTATTTCAGAAGTAATGATCTTTATTCCGCAAATCTACTTTTTATGAGTTCAGGTGATAATCACCTTGTTATGTAATGTCATTCGGATCTTTCTCTTAATTGTCTCAGTAATTATATAGAGGAGAAAACGCCTAAAACAAGATCACATCATTTTTAAATGTGATGTCAGTCAGAAGATGAGTTATCTGTTAAAATTACAGTTATAAACACAATTGTTAATGAGCTATCGCTAACACAGTTCAAAGAAATATAAGGCACGAGAAAGCTGTCAAGGAAAGGACATATAACTCGTTTAGTTTGACTGTACACTTCATAATGTTTGTTCGATAATCAACACCAGTTTAACTCTTATCCTTCTGAACTGAACGGTAAAGTTCTTTATAGCCGAATGTATCGTATAAAATGTATTTGAGCTTGTTATTGAATTAATGCCATCTCATCAGCTTTTATTTAGGACATATATTTTCAACAGAAAATGGTTGATGTTTTAAAATGTATTTTTTATTTAAACAAACAAGTAAGGTGTACGTAAGAACACGCACTGCAAACAAACAATTCTTTACTTTGCATACAAAACACTTCAAAGTAAAAAGAAAGTCATGAGATAAATGCTCGTGAAAATGCTTCTACAGAATAAAGTGTTTTGCTTAAATCCCCTTACAAAAAGCAGTGTGCCCTTTGTTGCCCCTCATCTTGATTCACAAGTCCATTGGTTGTAAGCATTTTGCATCTAAAATTCAGATGGTTTAATATAAACAATTGTAAAAGCTCCATCACAACGGCTATCATTTCACAAGAAAGCTATGAGTGAAAAACCCAAAACATCAACATGGATCCTACCCTATTATTTTATTTTAGGAGTCTCTTGAACTATATATATAAATAAATGTGTTAAAGCTAGCTCCTACTTGAGCAGCTGCAAAAGTAAAATGCTTCTTATACGTTATTGCATCAGTTCTAATGATCTAAATATCATCATATAAAATGTATTATGTGATAAAAAGTCAACTAATGGTACAGTTTTTTAAATTATATTTAGCTGATGATGCTTTCACTTCAACTCTATGCAGGACTTTTCCTTGTATGGAAGTATTTTTACATTGTTGTGTAGGTACTTTTACTAAAGTGTAATATCTGAGTACCGTTGCAGACAACCTTAGAGGTGTAACATACGAAATGAACCGTCCCGTAGATAATTAAATGAAATCGATTCAACATGGCTTGTATTATGATACAAACTTTATAATCCATTCATGTTACAGTATGGGTCATTTGAAACAAGTCTTATTAATTTGTTGGAGCATTTCAACAGATCCCTCTGTCTCGCCAATCCTCTTTAGTAATCTTAACATTTATGATCGTGCCAGCCATTTATTTTCAGAGAATAGCTACTGTAGAAACTGTGACCATTATTTTGTGAAAGCGAGAGATCTGTCCTCGTTTAGTGATGCTTTACTGTTATCCATGTGAAAATACAAATCATTTACAGCAGGGTTTTTTTTTTTATTCAAGTCCTCTCATTTATCATTTAACTATTTCAAAATACTTTTAGGTAACAGTTTTTTCTTTTTTAACACCTCGCTTTCCCTAACAGCTTCACCTTTGAGTGCTAGCACTGTGTCATGAAATGTGTTGCAGTTAAGAGATATATTTGCAACCTGATAAATGTAGGTCTAAGTGTCAGTTTCATTTAGATTTGGCTCGCTTTCACCTGCAGTGTTAAAGTAATGTAGCTTAACACATGTGAGAAACATCTCTGCAGTGGCCTTTAATGTCAAGTAATCTACTTCTGATCAAAAACATATGACAGGCTAACTGGAGTTTGTCAAGCAGAAATTAAAAGACCAAAAAATAAGAAAACTAATTATATTGGTAGATATGACAAATCATCCTTAGGGGCTCCTGGTAAACTGGGCTAGAGGGAACAATCATTAGACCAAAAACATCACCTGGTCTAGAGCATCTCTGTGCAAAACAACATCCGGCACCTTGACAACATCTGTAATGAGAACACATTTCTCATTACACTTAAAGGTGGGGTAGGTAAGTTTGAGAAACCGGCTCGAGATACACTTTTTGTTATATTCCATGGAATGCTCTTAACATCCCGATAGCAATGAATACATGAAATGCTTTGACAAAAAATCCATAAAAAAATGTCATCTGTGGAAGCCGTAGCGATGTAAAAAGCACGACCAATCATTTTAGCCGGCCCGGCTAAAATAACTGGATGGCCTACCTGCCTGTCAGCCTTCCATCTGTGCACAAACTTATCTCGTGCCCTCATTGGTCATGTGCGCGTTCGTGTGTGTTGGAGGAGGGGCTCTGTAAGGAAGTGGCACATTTTTACGGTTGTGTATTTTCAAATTCTAGCGCATTCAAGCTGGTTTCTCCAAAATTACCTACCCCACCTTTAATATAGGGCCTTGTATTGTCCTGCCATTTAAACACAAAAATTAAATTTGATATAATTTGTAACATCAACATTTTAACCTACTAACAAATCGTTTTGACGTTTGATTCTTTTTTGTTAAACGGTATACTGTATGTTAATGCAGAGTTTACACCGATGCAGGAAACAAACCATTGTATACAGTTCTGGTGCCCTCTTTTGGGCAATACCAAAAGTATATATCGAGTGGTACATACATAGGAACTAATGCTGCACAGTGTTACACATTTCTTCTGGTTTAGTCTTCATAAAATACAAATATGTATTAGGTCAGATTTAGATGCGAAGAAGTTTCTGGTCTGTGTGAAAATGTAGGGTGTACCATTATATTAAATCAATAATACATTCAATCTTTACACTTGAATGTCGTAACTAACATTGGCATTGTATTTCTTACCCTCTCTAGAAGACTGATTTTAGGTGTTGAGCGGTTCGTCCTCCTTATTGTGTGATGCCTCGTTCTTTCTTGGTAAAGCGAGGAGGGCTTCACTACCTTGTAAAAAAGACGGGGGCCTGGGACAAACCCCTGAAGTTCTCCACACCAGGAAGTCCCGATGGTAGCACAGTGCCCATCACTTTACTGCAGCAGCCTGCAGACAGCCACTCTAAAGGAAGTGACCTTCAGCCATTCAGCCCCATAACTTATGGTGGGTGAAATGTTACTTAAAAAGCACAATACTTTGTGGTAAGCAGCCTGTCTGGGATCCAGAATAAATATTTTTGTATTTACATATTGTCGGACTATTGCGTAAGCCGTTATTAAATTAACTGAGTTTAACTTATTCTTTTCAATTTGTCAAAAGTGCATCAATTCAAAGTTTCAGAATATCAGAATAAGAAGGTCAGTCCACTTACCCTGTCTGTCTTTGTTCTCAGACCGTAGATCTGCTCAGTCCTGCAGTCCTTTTAGTCCTGTGGAGAAAGTCGAGTCTTGCCCTCACACACCAGCGGTCTGGTCCAGGCCTCATGTACACTCAGGATATCCAGACAAACTGTCTGTGGGACTGGGATGTTTGACCCAGCACCCTCACATCCTGCGGGAGACCAGGAGCAGCGGGTGCTTGAAGATCAGTGCCGGGAGACAAGAGTGTCCAATCTGTAGCAAAGTAGGACATCCCTCTGTTTCATTTGAGACATTTAAAGTAGACCTAGCTTGTGTTAACTGATCGATTGATTTTGAACAGGACGTGGTTGAAAGTGATGAAGTTATACTGGCAGTGCAAGAAAATACATTTAAGTTAATTTGATATGTTTTTTACTTAACGGTAGTAAGTAGGACCAAGTCTTTCTATACAAATGCACAAGAAAAAAAGACAGCACAAGGTCAAAGGTCATAACAACTTTTTCACATTTGAACTGGTTTCCCACCTACTCTCCTGAAGTCTCACTTTCGTTTAATTATATTCATTTTCTCTTTGCAGATATTTTCATGTCTGTCAAGTTTGAAGACTCACATATGCAAGAGTCATGGCAGCAGCTCACCAGCACACATCAAGTCCAGCAGGACAGATAGTGAGCGGTCACCATGCAGGGGCAAGGTCAGTAAATAATCGTACTATCTTCCACTAAAAGAATCAAATTCATGCACATATGGGATACCGCTATGGGCCTATCACTCCTGAATCCTTAAACACAGTGCCTGTTGTTTCAGGAGAGGTCGTTTGGCTGTACAGTGTGTGGGAAAGTGTTCAAGCGCTCCTCCACCCTCTCCACTCACCTCCTCATACATTCAGACATCCGGCCGTACCCCTGCCAGTACTGCGGCAAAAGGTTCCACCAGAAGTCCGACATGAAGAAACACACCTTCATACACACCGGTGGGTTTGTGTCACGTCTTTATGTGTTTAATATACTGAGATAACTAATATTGAATCATTATTATTAATATTTCATGTTCCATACATCACTTATATTAATTTCTAAGACTTAAATTAGCCCGAGAACCACCAGGTGTCGACATAGCATTTTTTTTCTTCTATGTTAACAATATATTGCCAACACATCATCCCTATTAATGCTGTTGACCAAAAAGCAAGCATAGCACTATTGCTTTATTTAACCATTTTTTATGATATAATCCCCATAGATGTGTATACAAATTGTAATTTAGTTTAAACTTATCAATTTAATAATTATTTAGGCTGTTTTTTATAATTATTTGTATTTATTTATGAAGTCTTGATGTTTTTTTGTTTTTTTATTTTCGTACTCAGTTCTTCATTCACGTAAAAAAACTGCTTTAGGATTTAAGGCCTTCCAAATGGCATGTATCATTGTTTTGTTTGACTTATATTATATTAAGAATGGAGTTTTGTATGTGTGAGAAATTACATGTTTGGACAAACTAAGTTAGTAAATAAATAGTCATTTAAAAAAAGGAAATGTATTACTGCAAAAAGGAAAATGGGAACACCACTACTATACATGTATATGTGTAAATGCTATATGCTTGACAAAAGCTCTGAGCAGTGTCTCATGTATGAATATTTAAACTTCCTATGTATTGAAATGACTTGCTCTGTTTGTGTGCCAGGTGAGAAGCCCCACGTGTGTCAGATATGTGGGAAGGCCTTCAGCCAGAGCTCCAACCTCATCACCCACAGCCGTAAACACAGGGACGAGCGGCCCTACCGCTGTCCTCGCTGCCTCTACGGCTTCCAGCACAAAGTGGACCTCCGGCAGCACCAGGAGCACCACTGCAACTACCGCTGACCCTGACCCATCCTCAGCCTTTTTTTTTTAACGAAACCAGCGGCATCACATTCAGGACAGAAAACGTTTACTTTTGAATTATGTTTATTTAGTTTAGGTTTTGACAAATAACACAGCAGGGTTTTCATTCATCATTTACAGAATTTGTTCTTGTTATGAACAGCTTTTAAAAGGCTTTAATAGTCCCTTTTTTCTTTGTACCAATGAGCTCTGGCAACAACATCATTAGAGTAGTCTCCATGTGTTGTGTATAAATCCACATCTTCATAGCTCTTGACTTTACCATCCCTATTGTAGGCTGCTATCCCTCCTACGGAGAAATAAACACAAATAAGAACAAACATAATTAAAAGTTTGAACAGAGTTGGTGCACTACGGTCTACTGATTCAGTAAAACAAACCTTTCAGCTGCTGCTCCCTGCTCCAGTTAGGAAATTTGTTCTGGATTATTTTAATAAAATCAACCAATATTTCGGTGGCCTGGCTGAGGTGTTCCTCACTGTCCCAATCACCCTCTGGATCGTGTGCACCTCCATCTGGATTAACACCAACCTATAGAAATGGAAATGAGGCTCCTCCACAAAGAGGATATGAGTAAAACAATATCATTTAAAACAACCTGCATCAGTCCCCAGGCATTATAGGCTCCTCTTTCTGTGTCCCAGTCTCCCCAGCCATCTGTCAGTGCTGCTCCAGCCCTGGACTCTCTGGAGATGATGGCAGCGATGAGAGCTGGATCAATGTTATGTTGTTTTGCCACACTGTTGATTTTAGACCTGTACTTTTCCATTCTGTCTGCATCAGTCTGTGCCATGAAACCTGATACCATCCTTCCACCTAATAGATATCAAACCAAGAACAGGACTTTGGCCTTTTTGCAACAAACTTTCATATATCATTGTCAAAATATTGAAGAAATTGTACTGTAGATATCAAATCTGCTCCTGTGTTTCTACACTGCAGAGTGTACCTGTGCTGTTGTTCCCATAATCCGCCCGAGCTGTTTCCCTTGAGGCACCATCTATTTCAACTCTCATGATGTCGCCATAATCTGCTAATATTAAGCATTTTACAGCAGATTAGTTTTCATTAACACACCTAGAAAGCATGAGGAGCTCAGGAAAATGTACTGATAGAAAGCAGACAACATGGAATCAAAAAGGATCTTGAGTAAAGGTATGTTTTAAATGTGAATCTCAGCCTACACGTAGCACAGCAAAATATATAATGTATGTAGACTGTTATTTATCTCATCAGCAGAAGAGTAAAAGAACACAAGCTCTTACCATTTCCCATGTTTCTCCTTTATTCGTCCACTTGGTTATTATTAAGAGGTTATTCTGTATAGGCTTTGCTTTATAAAGCCTGGATACTTGGGAAGGAATAAAGGGAAAACAAATGACTAGAAAATTGAAAATAAGTGCCAATATCGAACAATAATGGCCAATAAATTCAGTTTACAAGATAAATGTTCTAATGACGTGACATCGCTCTCACTTTGAAAGCAGTTTGCTTAAAATGTAAGTAATGGCTCTGAATACAATCGAATATAATAGCAGTGCATTTAAGTAGGCCTTATTTACACAAGACTACAGTGTATACTACTTGTTTTCCTTTTCAGCTAATTATAACTCATCTGTAGAAGGCTGCAAAGTGTGGGATCCTGAGGGGACACACCGTCATTGTCTGCCATTAGGGGTCTCTAAATCAAAACTTATACACAGTCTATTATCGACAGCTTCCTTCAATGTTCATCATTCAAGGGTTTTGTTTTACTGGGAGTCAAAGTATTTATCTGCAGATGTCTCCTGCTGTCCAAAACAAATGGATCCGGTGAGTAAACCTAAATAAATCAGTATAGTTAGAAATCAGTGTGTCTCTGGTTTGGCTGACATTTACTGGAGGGGCTGCGAGCAAACATTAGCTCAGCTTTTTTCTATGATAACTTATATTTTATGATATTTTTACTCTGAGCCGAATTATCTGCAGAGGTCTTCTCTCCCAATCAAACGCACCCAGTGGTTTATGGCGGTATAAACATTGAGTACAGAAGTTTTAAGTTTAAAAACAGTGTTTCTCCTATGGTGTTCGGCCATTTGCTCTGCTTCTTTTCTATTAAAAAACAGACATCCAATTACTAAAATCATCATGTCAAAATATTTAGTTAAAACTGGCCAAGATGCTATAGGCGTATCATAAAAATGTCTCCTAAAACTGGAATTAAAAGTGAATTCATGACAGGCAGTCAATCAAGACACTGACACCTGCGCAAAAAGGACTTAATTGAAATTAAGTTAAACATTTGTTGAAAAAATTTGGTATGATTGTAAGTACAAATTACATTACATTACATGTTACTTGTTATACGCTTTTATCCAAAGCGACTTTGGCCCACAATACTGTGGGCAATCCCCACAGGAGCAATTTGGGGTGAAGTGTCTTGCTCAGGAACACAACGACATGATGACTGCAGTGGGGTTTGAACCTGTGCTCCCCTAACCCGAACACCAACTCACTAGTCCACTGCGCCACATGCCTCCACAACACATTACATGCTTTTTACATATACACATACATAATCTTACATGGTATACGTTTAAATGAGCTGCAAACAATATTTATTTTAAAAGAATAATAAGTAGACAGATAATCTGGTCTTGTGTAACACGTTGAGTAATTATAACAATAGAAAGCTGAAAGTTAAAGGTAGAATGGAGAAACCAGCTTGAGTGCGCTAGAATTTGAAAGTACGCAGCCGAAAAAAATCTGCCCCTTCCTTCAGACTTCCTTACAGAGCCCCTCCTCCAACACACACGAACGCGCACATGACCAATGAGGGCACGAGATAAGTTTGTGCACAGATGGAAGGCTGACAGGCAGGTAGGCCATCCAGTTATTTTAGCCGGGCCGGCTAAAATGATTGGTCGTGCTTTTTAAAGCGCCACGGCTTCCACAGATGACATTTTTTTATGTATTTATTGTCAAAGCATTTCATATATTCATTGCTATCGGGATGTTAAGAGCATTCCATGGAATATAACAAAAAGTGTTTCTGAAGTGAATTACCTAGCCCACCTTTAAATGGTATCAAAGTTAAATGAACACAGGCACCCACCTGTTTTGTCTTCTGGTGGTTTCCTTCTCATCAAGAGAATCTGTTGCAGGGTTGCAGGATATAGCTATATAAGGTATGCTTACTTTCACTTTCAGCCCTCTCTGATGTAACAGGTCAAAGTAATGTTCGGCAGTGTATGTGGCCTCTGCCTGGGTCATAGTCTCCCCAGCCTTCCTGCAATTCATTTCCCGCCCTGGAATCTCTGGAGATGATGGTATCGATGAGAGCAGGATGGAATCCATAATTACCTCCAACTTTGTTGATTTTTTACCTTTACTTTTCCATCCTGCCTGCATCAGTCTGTGCCAAGGTGTGAGAAGCCCTCCCACCTTTTATAAATAAATAAAAACAGAGAACAGGAACATGGCCCCAGATCAACAACTACATGTATTTCCCTCTAAATCCATAGATAAAGAACAACTGTAGATACACAAAAATAGGTTTAGATCAAGGCTACTAATGACTTTTTCTCATCAAATCAGCTCCTGTGTTTCTCTCTGTGATTCCCTGAGTATCCCAGCTTGTCCTGCTGAGCTGTTTCCAACAAGGCACCAGTAGTTTCAACAAGCATAACCTTCTAATGATAAGATGATTAGATCAGTGTAGGAGCTTTATATTGCTACATATTAGGAGCAGGTGATAGGTGCTGCTGGGATTAGAGCACCAGTATAGGCACATGTTTTTTATTACCAAGGTGATTCAGGTAAAAGCTATAGGAAAAGTTGAATGACAAGTATAGGAAACCTGTTCAATGTGCCTTTGATGATATTGGATCATGAAAATAAATGTACGAAAAGGATACTATCGCAACTTGATCCTTGGACTTCGATCATTTACCCCTGCGTAAAACTCTCCAACAGGTGCCTCAGGGGCAGTTTCATTTTGAGTTGATATGGTTTTGGCCGCTACAATCAGTTTTGATCAACATAAGGACATTGCTAGAGGACTTGAAGGAACTCTACAGTTACATAACCAAATCATTTTTACAAACATGAGCCACTATTACATACACAGTCTGTGTAGTCTGAAAATATACAATCCTGTGAATCAAAGAAATTCTCACCCTTCACATATCAACAGCTTTTTAAAAAAATCATTTTATAAGCATTTACATATTGTGGCCATGACTTTTAAAGGGGTCCTGTGCCAAAGTTTAATCTTATGAGCTATATGTTTTAAAGGTTTGACTCTGGTGTCAAATATTCCTAACAAAACTTGTTTATCAAGTTACTAGGCATTTGCATAAACAACATCTGAGGCCTGTTATTCCAAGTAAAAGCTATACAACTTTAAAGTGGGAGATGTACACCTCGTCCCTTTTGTTTTAAAGCCCGGTATGTTTACTTTCATTTTCGTGTGGACTGCTCTCTTCATTTCTCTCCAGCAGATGGGGAGAATAGGCCTGGGTGGGTTTGCAAGTGAAAAAGGTGGAGAAAAATGAAACCAGCTGATTTACAAGAAACTGCCCCCACTGACTGCAGCAGGGCAGAGCACTCGCATGTAGACAGATAGAACAGTAAATGTATCTTTCAGAGAGCATGTTGCATGATTTGTGCAAATTCCACTATCTCCTTTTTCAATTGAACGAATGCTGATGTTTGCACATAAGTTTCATATTTAGTCCTTGATAAAAAAAAAGTAATAAGCTCCATGATAAATCTTTTAAAGGCACTCTATTTCAGGACACTTCAAGTACATTTCACTAATTTCTCAGCTTGTACAAAATAAAAATCCTTTCTTTTATCGTTGTGATGATGCACAAAAGTTCAGCACTGAGTACAACAGGAAATTGCTGCAAGTTTCCTTTTTTCCATTCCGATATGTAAACGGATATCCTCCATTAATCTCACCCGACAACACTTGAGAAGCAACATTTCCATCAAGTAATAAACAGTAGGACAGTATTTTGCAGTTGTATATTGACTAAACTAAAAAATAGAAGGTTACATGAGTAAAAGACAAAAGTTAAATGTGAATTCTTTTATTAACGGTTCATACCCCGGTTTATACACTTGTACAGATCATTCACAGCCAAGTTTGAAACAATCTTTTTGAGACTAACTGGTAGGCTAATCTTTGTTCTCAATCATTCACTTTTTATTCAACAGTTATACTTTGGAAAATACCTCAATATGGATTTAAAAGAGGAATCACCCTGTTTTTTATGTTTTATTTTATAATGCAATCATTAAAAACATGGTTTTGCTATTCATTGTGTTCATTTGGCTAAGGGTATGAATAAGAAACAGTGTTTCATTGATATGATTTTAAGGAGCTTCAGGGATTAAAAGCCACCATCGGTCCTGTACCACTGAGCTCTGGCAATGACATCATTGGAGAAGTCGCCATTCGAGGTTTTGGAGTCGACCGTTTCATGGGAGTGGATGTTCCCATCTCCTGCATTGTAGGCCGCTATCCCTCCTGCAGAGACAAAATACAAATGAGAACAGAGGAAAATATAAAGAGGGATGGTAGTTTGTCAGAAAGTCCTGTTTTTTTAATATTTTGATTGAAGACACATAGAAAAGACATGTGTTACATTGATAGGAACCACAGTTACAAATGTTCAGCAGTTCAAAGCTACTAGTGTTCAGCTTAGTCTCTACTATTGTACATCAATTGACAAGCCATACATAGTTGATCTTCACTTTAAACCACAAATATAACCAAAACAGACCATGTAGCCTAAATGTCAGAGAGTGTTGTACAGACTAACAGGACAAAACTAAAATAAACAATAAATAAATAAATAAGAAAGTCCTGTTTGACCTTTCAGCTGCTGCTCCTTGCTCCAGTCAGGAAATGTATGCTTGATTCGTAACAGGAATTGAATCAGGATTTTGGTTCCTTCGCAGATGTGCTCCTTACTGGCCCATAAATCTGTTCCGATGTGCCCGCATCGATCTGAAGTCATGAGAATCTACCAAAATATTTGTTAAGGAAGTTGAAATAAACACTGAACTG